ATACCTTCGCAGAATTTTAAATGTCTTCAAAATAAAGATATGTCGTTAAATCTGGTGTCCCTAGCATTGAAAAAAAAATTCCTTTTTTAAATCTTTCTTCTAACAAGATGAAACATACATTTCAGAACATCGTTAAAGAAATTAGAAACATACAAATATTAAAGCAATTTACTATCTTAAATGATTTCCGGGGATCCCGGGATTTCCCGGAATATCAAATAAATATTTCCCAACTCCCGGGATGGTGGAAACCACCGGGAAATGGAAGGTCTAGTTCTAACCACCGAACACAATTTTTGCGATATTGTTGTCCGGTATTCTAGCAAAGTGTGCCACCCATTGTACCCTTCAGCTTTAGCGACTTTCTGAACAATAGAGTTGGCCCCAGCTCGTGGTTCATTCTTCTCCTTAGTACACCGCCAAAGATTGTCCACCAATGTGCTCTCAGCTGTCCGTTCTCATTCACGGTGTCGATCAAACTGGCAAAATCAGCGATCGGAAAACACCAAAAACTCAAATCTCATGCGTGAGTTTATTCGCCTATGAGTTTTGCTATGCGAAATTCAACTGCACAAAAATCACCGATGAGTTTTAAGTTTAAAACATTCATTCCTTTATATTTTGACGTTATTCATTGTTATTAGTGTTCTTTCTGCATTATAGTGACGTTTCTTTAGCCTCAATCTACCTGTGCACCAACTCTCAAAACATATGATTAATATATGACATAAATTATGAAAATATTGCTTGCAATGAATGGATATCGAGTAAACTATTTAACTAACTGTGTATTTTTCAACCGATACGAGTATGAATATGGCAGCAAATCTGGGTTTGAAAGTTGTTGCACAGGTAAAAAGTGAGGTTACGGGACGCCACTGAATGGATGGAAAACTAACAAAACATTCTTGAACTTTCTATCAATTGACGTTTGAGCGGTTTTTATGAGTTTTAAGGAATGAGTGAGTGCGTGAAAATGCATAAAAATCTCAAGTGTGAGATTTAATTGTCAGATTCGCATGTGAGTTTATTCTCTTAATGAGGTTCAATGAATTAGATTTGAGAGTTGAGAGTTGTTGAGAGTTGTTGAGAGTTTTTTGGTGTGCTTCGTTCATTGCCTGTAGCTCGGTTAATGCTTTTGTCGTCGCTGTTGCAAGCAAACAATTCGACAATAATGCAGGACTGGCTGTGAAGTCGGAGTCAAGAAGTCGGAGTCGAGGAGTCGAGGAGCCGGAGTCGAGGAGCCGGAGTCGAGGAGCCGGAGTCGAGGAGCCGGAGTCGAGGAGCTGGAGTCGAGGAGCCGGAGTCGAGGAGCCGGAGTCGAGGAGCCGGAGTCGAGAAGCCGGAGTCGAGGAGCCGGAGTCGAGGAGCCGGAGCCGGAGTCGAGGAGCCGGAGTCGAGGAGCCGGAGTCGAGGAGCCGGAGTCGAGGAGCCGGAGTCGAGGAGCCGGAGTCGAGGAGCCGGAGTCGAGGAGCCGGAGTGGAGAAGCCGGAGTGGAGAAGCCGGAGTCGAGGAGCCGGAGTCGAGGAGCTGGAGTCGAGGAGCCGGAGTCGAGGAGCCGGAGTCGAGGAGCCGGAGTCGAGGAGCCGGAGTCGAGGAGCCGGAGTCGAGGAGTCGGAGGGAATTTCACGGATTGAAGAGTCGGAGTCGGTGAAATTATGCTAACTCCGACTCAAACTCTCAGATCGAAAAACTTAATTCAGATTGATTGATAATGTTAGGCATAACATTTGATAACGGCACAAAAGCATTTGTAAACAAACTTTCTAAGGCCCTTTACACGCGAACCAAACTACGCCCACGCAAACCAATACCACGTTCGGAAAGGTGATAGTTGCCCCTATCCGACGATGTTGTTGGTTTGCGGGGGCGTACTTTGGTTCGCGTGTAAAGGGTTTTAGAAAGTTTGTTTACAAATGCTTTTGTGCCGTTATCAAATGTTATGCCTGATGTTACTATAAAATCTCAATGAATGTGCTGAGACCACAGATAAATAGAAAAAAAAAACTCGAATATGTCTCACTGTAAAACATCGTCACTAAAACATTAACGCCATATTTTGAGTACACTGTGATGGAAAGTACGCTGAACAGATAGTGGTAGCAACAATACAAATTCCAGTACTATACTATGTTTGTTCTGATTCGCTATGAAAGTTTGACAGATAAAATGAGGGGTTCGTGGATTTTCCTATGTTTCGAGGCTGCTGAGCTGAGCCAAAAAGTTGAGCTCGTTTCTTCGAGACCTTCTGGTCTTAGAGTTACCTCTATGGTACTACCAACTACGATACTTTTAAATTTACCGTTAAATACTTGTTTGATGAACAACTTGCGAAAGTTATGTCTGTTTGTCTGTGCAAAGACCATCAAAATGATCAAAATCTATTCAGGAACTTTATTTTAACCAAGAGTTTGAAGATGCAGAATTAAAATATTTGAAAGCTAAACGGATTAAAATATCTTTGCCAGATCAATTATATAATTAATTGAGCTAGTCGTGATCCTTTTATAATCATATATGAAGGAATTAGACAATTTTGTGAATGGAGAGAATTTTGTGAGTGATTTAAGATAAATTCCCGAGTAACACACCCCCGTCACAAAAACTTGCAGCAACTTTTTTATGACTGAAATAAGTCGTAAGGAAGTTTCTTAAGTTGATGTCAACAAATTTATGTTTTCCAAGAGTTTCCTTCGATAGATCCCAGGATTTCATCACCTCACTCTCACTTCTCATCTCATTTCACCTCACCTCTCCTCACCTTACCTCACCATTTCTTATTTCAATTAACTCAACTCATCTCACCGCACTTCACCTAACATCTCCTCACCTCAACTCAATTCACTTTATCTCAATTCACTTTCATCTCATCTCGCCTCATCTCACTCTCACTTCTTCTTATCTCATATCAACTTTTCCACCTCACCTACCTCACCACAACACTTCTCACTTCACATTACCTCACCCTCACTCACATCACCTCAGAAGAATTTACCTCATTTCACCTTACCTAGCCACACCTCATCCACGTCATCTTATGTCATCTGAACTCATCTCAACTCACCTCATCTCATCTCTCCTTACCTTACCGCATCTTACCTCACTTCACCTTACTTCTTCTCACCTCACCTCATTCATCTCACCTCACCTCATCCCACCTCACTTCACATCATCTTATCTCATATGAGGGGGTTAGAAGAAAAGGGGTGTAAGTGACTTTGATCGATTCTCTTCATCGACTTTCTCTTTTGATAGCCACAGCTTTATAAACAGACTTTGCGCTATTTTTACCTCACAGTTTGATAAAGGAGGTTCTCATCTAGCATCCAGAATGGCACACAAATCAAGGAATGTGTTTGCAGCTGAATTATTAACGAAAAAGAAAGTCTATGAAGAGAATCGATCAATGTCACTTACACCCCTTTCCTTCTAACCCCCGAAGAAACGTGCTCAACTTGTTGGCTTAGCTCTGGTACTATCTTCGGTCCCAAGCTAAGCCATGCACCCCTCGAAACATAGAAAAATTCACGAACCCCTCATTTTATCTGTCAGACTTTCGACTAGAATGGGGTACGTTAATCGATTTGCTTAGGACCAGGCTAGTCAAGTAGTGAGCCAATTTAAAATCGTTAGTTTCCATCGGTTGGGCGAACCCTGGAGCCTCATTGCGCAAGTCGGAACGAAACATTTTTTGTATGAATGCTTATATAAAAAGGTATGTCGTTTCGATATGCGAAATGAGGCCCCAGATCTCATTTTGTTTTGAGAATGAAAAAGAACTGAAATCATGGACCACTAGAGGCGGGAAGATGAATTACGTACAATTTTAACGTTACCTTTTATGAAGCTACGTGGTTGCTTCCACTATGCGGAAATAAACATAATTGATGCTTTAGATTTAAAAATTACCACTTGTATAAGTGGAAACATTTAACAGATAATGAGATGGCGAAAAAAGATGTTAGATTGATTTTAACACCACCTTCTATTTAAAAGTGTTTGCCTCGTTACAGATATTATATATCAAACACTTCAATTAAAATAACTGAACAACGTCGTGCGGAAAATTTACGATTTATAACACAAGTGATTGTGATTAATATGAGAAATACCTAAAAATGTAGAATTCGTTGACTGACATCCATCTTTACCGGCTTTCCCCTACAGATAGTACTAATCAATTCCTCAGGAAACACCAAACAATCTATTCGATAGAATAAGATCGTGATTTAAGTAAAGCTTCTTGTGTTTGATTGACTGTCCGCTGTTCCATAAAGAATTGACTTTTACTATATGTAGGGGAAAGTCAGTAAAAGCAGACGCAGCATAAAAGATGGGTCACTTGCTGCACTTCATACGTTCAGCATGAGCAAACCTTTTCATTTAGTTTTTGCTGAAAGGCTGTAGCTCGAAATTTATTTTACAGAGATTTTGTTTACTTAAGTCAGCAAAGTTTCCGTCTTAACTGCCGGGTCCGTTATTTCCGACGAATGCCTTGTGAAATTATATCAGTAAGAATAACAAAACAGTGCATTATCACTTTTGAAACTCACTTGACGCCACTGCTTGCACTTATAATTTGGAGTAACGTCAAAGCTCTGCACTAATATTTGGGCATTCAGTCTATAGACCTCTAATGGGGCAATCTGGATGTACAACCACTATGCTGCCGCTATTCGCATAAAAGACCTATATCCTGTGGGCTTCCTATTTACTTGGAACTGTTATACGAATAGCGGCAGTATGGTTTTACAATATACCGTACGGTACAACCACACGTTGCATGGTAAAACCATCGCGGTTGTAAAACCAGATTGCAGCGTGTATTGACCCCACAACGCTCAAACTTCAGTATTCATACACCAAAGAGCCGGTTGAAATGAGAGGATTTCATTTTGAATAATTATTGCAATCGTGAAGAAATTTCTCTAGCATTCAGAATATCGTTTACACATAATGATCATTTACTAAAATAACATAAAACAATGTCTGGAACTTACCATTTTGGTTGATCGTTTTTTTCCGTTCCAGTCAGACACCAAGCCAAGAAATGTCGACGACCTGTTTCCCAGCTAATCAATTTGGCTAGTTGCAGTTGATATGGAAGAAATGTTTCACCAAAAACAAAAGAACACCGCTGACCGACTTCTTCTTTCACCTTTCCGTTGGAGATATCGAATGTTTACACTCCGGCGATCACGTTTCCAGCGCGAGTCTGGTATTCTGTCGGTAGGCAGCACACACTAATTAGAATGGTTATCACTTGGATTGAGCATGCGTGGTAGTTTTCAACACTAGTTACCGCACTTTTCTACCAAAGAAATCTTCGTTTCGGAAAGGACCACTTTTCGTTATCACATTTCACACGAACACTACACTACGTACTTCATACTCTTGGTTGGTCGGGGTCAAACAAAAGCTCCGGCTTTCCAGAGGCGACGAACGCGTGTGCTTTCCGTTGCAAGTCCACGCTGCGACTGTGAAGGTGGCACGATGTGAGGGCTACGACAGGGCCCGACGATCTCGTCGTTGAATAGTTCAAAACTATCGCGCTCTACCGGGAAGGTACCCACTCATACTAGGCGACGGACGGCGACGATGAACGAGCGTAAAAGTGATCCTGTGTTTGGGTTTGATTTTATCACATTCCGCGAAGGGCCGAGCGGTGGAGCTTTTGTGTTATTTGTTTACACACAAATGGCGGCAAGTTCCAACTCACAGTAAATTTTAATCCCGTCCTTGTTTGAATGATCGGCTATATGTTTGCTTAGAGTCAAGTTTATCAAATCTGATGTCGACATCAAAGCAGCCGGATGTAGTTTATCAAGATTTAATCCGAAAATAACACCGATAAAAGCTTACCACCAGTGATGCCACATTTTTTTTCGAATTTAGATCTGTATCTCTCTTTCTAAAATATAAGCGTCTGATATTAAACCTAGTTTAATCATGGTTGATTAGATTGTAGATTATCTCTTTTTGAATAAATGTCAATAAATAAGTTTTATACGAAAAATTCATTAAATTATTAATTTAATTCACTTTAAAACAAAAATACACAACACTTAAAAATACATAAATACAGAATATACAAAGTACACCTTTTCAATACGGGTAGATGAATCGAAGATACTCTAATTAACAGCCCCTTGAAAAACAAAAATGCAATGCTTTAGAAAGGAAACTTTAGTTATTTTTCAAGATTCTGAGCATTGAACAAACTCCTTCTGAACTATGAATGAACTCAATGAAGATTTAGGTAAATCCACACTGAGATATTAATAAATAAATTTCAGTACATGTTCGATTTTGGCACGGTTCGATTTTAGCATCATGCCAAAATCGAATTACAATTTTTAATAAAAGAATTATTATTTTAACGTCTATGTAATAAAGATGACTCACGGTGGTTCATAATCATCGAAATTATAAATTAAATTTAAAAATAAAACCGTTCGATTTTAGCAACACCAAATTTTCGGGCTGTTGCTAAACTACAGAGTTTTGTCAGCCAGATACAGATTAAAAAGATTTTTTGCGATGAACATACAAATTGAAAATCAATAAAATGTGGAATCACTGCTTCTCTGACATTTATGAATAGAGATTAGTGACGTTTAACGCACGCACACTAGCGGGAGCAAAACCGTGTAAAGTTGTTTATTATTTTTCTCTGGCTAACCTATAAAATGTATGAAAGTAGATCTGTCAAAATGAGTTTGACATCGATTTGTTATGTATTTTTCTCGGATATTCATTAACACGCTCTCACATATCGCACCAATACAACCGGACGTGAAAATCTCTATTGTACAAGGGTTGGTGCAGAACTTTGGGTAAATTCAAAGGTTTTCTTGCACTAAACTTATAATTTACCCAAAGTACTGCACTCCCTAATAAAATTGTTATGGTTATTTTGCTTAACGACGTGTTCGGGGTATCATCCAAACCATTTGTGGAATAGTTCTATTATTTGGGTTATCGTTCGTTTATGGTATTTTTTTATTAGGGCTAATAATTGTGCATTTCACAAACGTCGGAGAAGTCAATAGAGATTGCTGACGTTTATCATACGCACACTACGTCACGTATACGTATACGCAACATGTTTTCAACGGGGAAAAAAAAACTTCATGGCGGAAAATTTTCCCGATGAAAACAAATCACTGACACAATCATGCTTTAGCAATCTCTATATTCGTCGCAATAAATCTTTTTAATCTGCATCTGACTGACAACAAATCTGAATTATTTCCGTATTATGGTCTCAGTGCGGATTTACGCAAATCTCCATTGAGCAAATTCATAGTTCAGAAGGAGTTTGTTCGAAGTTTAGAATCATGAAAAAAAGAATTTGTTTACATATTTTAAAAATCTTGAAATCCTACAATCTTCATGTGTTTTGTATCATTAAGTACCAGTCATGAGAGAGAACTATGTTTCCGGCTAAAAAGTTCCTTAATGAAGTAACTATTACAATTCTCTAGATTTTTTTTTATTTCCGAGATTACGAAAACCTATACCTGGACATTGGACATAAACTGCTGGCCAGACTGAGCAGTTATAACATGTTATAACGGTTGTCAAAAAATTACAACACAGAAACTACCATCATGTTATAACTCTGTAGTCTGAACGTACTATAACACAGAACTTTTACTGGAAGTTTAGTCGAATGGCATGCAATAATCTTTAATTCTGTAACTACACCTTTCAAACATAAAAATATCCAGTTGATTCTTCGACTCACAAACTGTAATCAACCACTTTGTTAGTTTTTTAAAATGGCTTGTTTATCGATTTGACAAAAATATATTTAAATAACCTTCGTATCAGTAATAACCATATGACATGGTTAATTGAACAAAAAGAAAGTGAATCTAATATTCCTTCCAACGCGAAATCAGAACATCTGAACATCAGAAGTTCATTCGAAAGATTCCAAGTCCATTGGAAACTAAAATGATAATATTCATTTAGTGAAAAATACGATTTGGGTTTGATGCTCCGATTGAATTCAAGTTGCTTAAAAGGAAAAATATGATAAATATAAAAAAAATGTAAAATATATTCCCATTATTTGAAAAATCTGTATATTTTTCAAAAATCTGCAATCTGTATATACAGATTGGCGAATCAAAGCAAAGCCAAAACTGGTCATTAGACTGATGCAAAATTTGACTTTTTCGCTCCACAGTGCTTAAATGGTTTCAAATCGGGTCCTGATTAGCCTCCCAAAGTTACAACTCATTTGGTTAGAAACAGACTTCGCACAAGCCATTTGAAGTTTACATGTAAATTACTATGGGAAATCTCCGAGGAAATCTCAACTTTTTGTTCATTGCCTTCTAGTCTTTTTTTTTCATATTGAGCTGCGAAACAGTTCGATAGCCATTCTTTTAGAAAATATTCTCAGCTACAACTTTGCTGAAGATCGTTGCTATGTAAAACGAGACAGGAAAAAGTTATTAATTATTTAAGAGATTGGTAAACTTATGACATGATCAAGCAGCTGCTCTGTAGGCAACACTGTATTTTGCAGTGTGACATAGTAGCCATGATTTTTGTGTCCTATTCAACGCCCCAGAAACACCAATGTTGCTTGCTGAGCAGTTGATTGAGCATGAACATAAGACATCAGCGCATTGAACCATTGATAACTTTCGATCCTTGCATTTAATCAAAAAGTGGTCTAAAGCAAAATTGTAGCTGGGAAAATTTCCTACAAGTACAGTTGAAAGTTTTTGAAGCAGACAGATATGGCGAATTATTAGATAGACATGAACAAAAATCTTGGTTTTACCATAGTAATTGCCATACAAACTTCAAATGGTTTGTGCCATCTCAGTTTCTCACCAAATGGGTTCAAATTTTGAGAGGTTAGTCAGGATCCGATTTGGAATCGTTTAAGTATTGTGGAGCGAAAATTTCAAATTTTGCATCACTCTACTGGTCATGCGACACCTAGTTTTAAGATCCACGATTACAAAAATGATGATGTACTAAAATAAGTGTCATGCAGTATGACAGATATCAAAACGTCATTACCATTTTCACCCACTCGCCATCTGTGAGTCAATCGTCACTTTGATTCTTCAATATCTGTATCAATATATTGAAAAAAAAAATGAATGATTACACATAAATCTGTATATGTGGCATCACTGCTTACCACACAATTAGTTCGACAGTGAGCATGCAAAAGGGCGAATACGCGATGATCGATTCTCTTCATCGATTTTCACTTTGCATTGCTACAGCTAAGCGAAACAATTTTCTAGAATTTGTTCAATGCAGAGTAGTAACAGGTTGTATTGGCTATCAAAAGCAACAGCAAACGCACCGAGAAACGTTAAATCTAGCGAGTTATTAACAAAAGAGAACAACGACGAAGAGAATCGATCATCGCGTATAGGCCCTTATGCATGCTCACTGTCGAGTTCTATACAGGGCAGGGTTGCCAGATATACCGATGTATCGGTATTTATACCGATTTCCAAACTTGATACCGTTATTGGCAAATCAAAGTTGGCACTCGTGGAGAATAGAAGAACTATGAAAGTGATGATGGTTTTAAAATTATCCACGGTATACGAATGCAATCTTAAAATGCTTTTATTTTGCAAATGGAGCATTTTATTTAAATTTGGTTGCTGTTACAGTGGTAGAAAAGCTGAATTCTTTGTATACACCTAACAATCTGAGAAGAAATTATTTTTTCTATATTATATGTCTATTAAGTAGTCCTTAAGTTTTCTAATAACGTAGCACTAACCAGATTTAAATAAAATGCTCCATTTGCAAAATAAAAGCATTTTAAGATTGCACTCATAAACCTCACCGTGTAAAATTTTTAAACCATCATCACTCTCATAGTTCTTCTATCCACGAGTGCCAACTTTGATTTGCCAATATGTACCGATAAGCATCCTCAAAATACCGATTTTTGAGATTTTGTACCGATTTATACCGATTTTTTTTTATAAATAATCAAAATGAATATTGTCTGCCCGGTGAACAGTCAGATGAAACTATTGTGAAAGACTTTTATCTTTTTGAATATCTGCTTTGAGTCTGCTCAAAACATTATTCATCTATAAAAATGTGTATTGCTTAATATGTACTCTTTCGACTAATGTTTCCATTTCCTTGCCGTTTTTGGCTAACCGAAGCAGTCGAGGAACAGCTGATGGCTCATGCCGGTTATTCCTGGGAATCAGGAAATTCTTTTACTCAGTGTACTCCATGTTAATTTTATAACTTCCGGAAATTTGTTTATTCTTCCCTTGGAAGTTTGTTCCATCTTTCCCCTGGAATTTTCATCCACCTTACCCCGTAGGTTATTTCCCGATTTCTACCGGAATGTTATTTCGACTTCGCTTGGAAGCTTCTTCTGGCTTCTCTTGGAAGGTTCTCCCGTCTTCT